CCGGGGTCAGAAAGGTGTCGAGTCTACCTTGCTAGATAACTTCAAGGGCGTCATCAACCCCGGTGAGATGGTACTGGTGCTCGGTCGTCCCGGATCTGGATGTACCACGTTTCTCAAGTCAATTGCCAACCAAAGGTGGGGTTATACCGGCGTTGCAGGAGAGGTTTTGTACGGCCCTTTCACGGATAAGGAGTTCATGGAGTACCGGGGTGAGGCCGTTTATAATCAGGAGGACGATATTCACCATGCCACTCTAAACGTGGAGCAGACGCTTGGCTTTGCTATTGACACCAAGGTTCCTAACAAGTTGCCAGCCGGTACCAACAAGGCCAAATTCAAGAACGATGTCATCACTACGCTTCTGAAGATGTTCAATATCGAGCACACTCGACACACCGTAGTGGGTGACGCCCTCGTCCGTGGCGTCTCCGGTGGTGAACGGAAGCGCGTTTCTATTGCCGAGATGATGATAACAAATGCTTGTGTCCTGTCCTGGGATAACAGTACTCGTGGCCTTGATGCGAGTACTGCGCTCGATTTCGTCAAGTCTCTACGTATTCAAACCAATCTATACAAGACCTCGACATTCGTGTCCTTGTACCAGGCCTCCGAGAATATTTACAAGCAGTTCGACAAAGTCCTCGTGATCGACTCGGGCAAACAAGTCTACTTCGGGCCCGCCACCGAGGCGAGAAGCTACTTCGAGGGCCTCGGTTTCCGGCCGCGCCCACGCCAGACCACCCCGGACTATGTGACCGGCTGTACCGACGAATTCGAACGAGAATACTCGGACGGGTACTCTCCTAAGAATGCACCGCATGATGCTGAAACCCTCAGCGAAGCTTTCAAGAAATCCAAGTATGCCCAGCGATTACAGGCTGAGATGGCCGAATATAAAACTCGACTAGAGACCGAAACAGCAAAGCATGACGACTTCCGTGTCGCAGTCCTCGAGAGCAAGCGCCGCGGCGCAAAGCGATCCGTGTACAGTGTCGGATTCCATCAGCAAGTATGGGCGTTGATGAAACGCCAGTTCGTCCTGAAGCTCCAAGACAAGCTTGGCTTATTCCTCTCTTGGTTACGTACCATCGTCGTCGCGATCGTACTAGGAACCCTGTATCTCAATCTCCAGCAAACATCCGCGAGTGCTTTTAGCAAAGGTGGCCTTCTGTTCATATCTCTCCTGTTCAACGCTTTCCAGGCCTTCTCTGAACTTGGTTCTACAATGACGGGCCGGCCTATCGTCAATAAGCACAAAGCTTACGCCTTCCACCGACCTTCAGCATTGTGGATTGGACAGATTTTCGTCGATACTGCCTTCTCCGCGCTGCAGATTCTAGCATTCTCCATCATCGTGTACTTTCTGACCAATCTTTCGAGGACGGCTGGGCAGTTCTTCACTTTCTATCTGTTGATTCTCGTCGGAAATGTCGCTATGACCCTCTACTTCCGTATCATTGGTTGCCTTAGCCCCGACTTCGACTACGCCATCAAGTTTGCCGTCGTGACGGTTACGTTGTTTATTCTGACATCGGGATACCTGATTCAGTACCAATCCCAGCAGGTTTGGCTTCGGTGGATATTTTGGATCAACGCCCTCGGCTTGTCCTTCGCGAGTCTGATGGCAAATGAGTTCAGTTATTCGGAGCTGACTTGCGCAGACACCTCCCTCATTCCCTTTGGGCCCGGCTACGATGACATCCGATATCAGGTGTGCACCCTGGCTGGCTCTAAACCTGGAACCGTTGCTGTAAAGGGTGCCGATTACATCACTCAAGGCTTTACCTACGCCCCCAAAGATCTCTGGCGAAACTTCGGGATTGTCGTCGCTATCATCGTCTTCTTTCTCATTATGAACGTTGTCTTGGGAGAATTTGTCAAGTTTGGAATGGGAGGCAACCAGGCCAAAGTTTTCGCCCGGCCTGACGCAGAGAGGACGGCGCTCAACGAGGCCCTCGAACAAAAGAAGCTCGCGCGCCAAAAGTCTAGGACGGAACAGGAAAACGACTCTCTGAAAATCAACTCCTCCAGCATCTTGACATGGGAAGACCTTAACTACGATGTGCCGGTCCCGAGCGGTACCCGACGGCTCCTGAATAACGTTTACGGCTATTGTAAGCCCGGTGAGCTCACCGCTCTCATGGGAGCCTCGGGAGCCGGAAAAACGACGCTTCTCGACGTGCTAGCTGCGAGAAAGAACATTGGTGTCATCCACGGTGATGTCTTGGTGGACGGATCGAAGCCAGGGAAGGAATTCCAACGATCAACTTCTTACGCCGAGCAACTCGACATGCACGACCCCACCCAGACTGTGCGTGAGGCCCTGCGATTCTCTGCCGACCTGCGACAACCTTTCGAAACGCCCCGGTCCGAAAAGTACTCATACGTCGAGGAAATCATCGCGTTGCTCGAGATGGAGCACATCGCCGACTGCATTATCGGAACGCCCGAAGCCGGTCTCACTGTTGAGCAGCGCAAGCGCGTGACCATCGGCGTCGAACTTGCAGCCAAGCCCCAGCTCCTTCTCTTCCTCGACGAGCCGACGTCTGGTCTTGACAGCCAAAGTGCCTTCAACATTGTTCGGTTCTTGAAGAAGCTCGCCGCGGCAGGCCAGGCCATTCTCTGCACGATTCACCAGCCAAATGCTGCTCTCTTCGAGAACTTCGACAGACTCCTTCTTTTACAACGCGGTGGTCGTTGCGTTTATTTCGGTGACATCGGCAAGGATGCCCACATTCTTCGATCCTACCTCGCTCGCCACGGTGCTGTTGCCGGGCCGTCTGACAATATTGCCGAATACATGCTTGAGGCGATCGGTGCGGGTAGCAGCCCGCGTGTTGGCAATCAAGACTGGGCTGATATTTGGGCTGAGAGTGCTGAACTTGCTAATGTCAAGGACAGAATAGCCCAGTTCAAAGAGTCTCGTAAACAGGCCGCGGCGGAAATAGATCTTAGCCTGCAGAAGGAATATGCGTCCCCGCTTTGGCACCAGATCAAGGTGGTTGTCAAACGGACCAACATTGCTTACTGGCGTTCACCGAACTATCTCTTCACCCGCGTGTTCAATCACATTGCCATTGCTGTGTTGACTGGCCTGACATACCTCCAACTCGACGACTCACGATCATCGCTCCAGTACAAGGTCTTCGTCATGTTCCAGATCACAGTCCTTCCCGGTCTCCTCTTACCGCAAGTCGAGCTCATGTTCATCGTCAAGCGTGCCATCTTCTTCCGAGAACAACTGAGCAAGATGTACAGCTCCTTCACGTTCGCGCTGAGTATTATCATCGCCGAGCTTCCATATTCGATCCTCTGCTCGGTGCTGTTCTTCCTGCCTCTCTACTTCATCCCCGGCTTCCAATACGAGTCATCACGCGCGGGGTACCAGTATTTCATGGTCCTTATCACAGAGCTCTTTGCCGTCTCGCTCGGTCAGGTCCTAGCTGCCATCTCCCCTTCTGCATTCGTGGCCAGCCAATACGACCCCTTCATTGTCATCACCTTCGCGCTGTTCTGCGGTGTTACCATTCCGTATCCGCAGATGCCTGGTTTTTGGAAGGCCTGGTTGTATCAACTAGATCCGTTCACGCGTCTTATCAGCGGCACCATCACCACGGCTCTGCACGGTCTCGGGGTCGTGTGCACGTCGGCCGAGCTGAATCTCTTCGAAGCACCACCCGGAGAAACGTGCGGCTCGTACATGGCGAATTTCTTTGCCGCCGGCGGTCCCGGTTACCTCGTCGACAACAACACCAGCAACTGCGAGTACTGCGCTTACTCGATCGGCGACCAATTTTACGACACTTTCCAATACAGCTTCGGCACGCGGTGGAGAGACCTTGGTATTTACATCGCTTTCGTAGTGAGCAACATTATCATTTTACTACTTGCGGTAAGCACCCGTATTTCCATTCTGGTTCTGTTTTGGATGAGTATAAGTACTAACAGCTTGCCAGACCCGTTTCTTGAACTGGAACAAACGGTAATCCTCTTGCCAGGAGGCCAGTAGGGTTGCATCGCCCAGGCAGGCCCGCCCGAGTGCCAAATTAACTCACGGTCGCTTGTTTTATTTTATTTAATTGTAATACAGCGAGGGGCGCATCTTATATTTGTTTATGGCAGCATCAAGCGTAGTCGTTTTAGAACATAGACCGGCGGCGGGGCGTTGAAGGTTAGAACAATCATGGTTATGACACCGCCGTCAGCGCGATGGGCAAGGAAAAGTAGACGCCGGGGGGAGGGGGAGGGGGCGGTGCACACGGATAGATAGGTAGGTAGAGACAAAACAAGTCGATTCAAGATATCTCCTTTTTTTTGGTCGGCATATGTTTGCCGCCCTGAGGCTGTGTGTGATCTTCTCATGACCGTAGGTACACATCCATCTGCTATGCAGCTGGCCCATATCCGTCTGATTTTATTATCTATGGTTGGCCGCCCAAATCGGGGCTGGGTTTAGATACCGCGATTGTGTCCGCCGGCCGGACAGACCGACTCTGTACTTTGAGTTGACGAGAGGATAAGCGCGGGCCTGACGACTATTCCTAGCGATTACGTAGGTAGCGCTGTCGAACATCCGTCCGACGGGCTCACACGTGCTGAGGTGACGGCAGTACTGCCTATCCCTGTAGATGATGACGGTCCCAGGCGCTGTGTCTAGATAGTTGTCCCCATTCGTCAAGCGGGATTCAGCCCGGGCTGCGACGGCGGCACTCCACCGACCAGGAATCACAACTGTTGTAAGTCAACTGTTCAACCATGATGATTGGAACCACTGCGTGAAAAAGACCACTCAAGCCACAAGCTCGTGTGTGCTTGCCGTCCATGACAAATCGAGACACCGGGTGTGTCCGTCCGACGGAGTTCGTCTTTGCCACGACCGTTGCGAAATCCAGAACCGGCATTCCCGTCGGTTCCTATCTGTGAGGGATTGGATGGATCTATGGCAACAAAAGATAAATAGATATAAAAAGAAAATACGAATTGCAGATGCATTCAGGAATTGAACCCGACCCGATTTGAACGGATGACCTTCTGGATACTCTGGCTCCGAGAACTGGAATCAGATGCTCTACCGCTGAGCTACGGGTCCGTTGCTTGTTGAGGCGTGGTGAAGGTCAAAGCCACGATTTAGCCATCGGTTGTGGCTGATGCCCTCCTGCTCGGCGCTGTCAGCCACGTTGTATGTTGTCTACGTGACGGAATAACAGCAATTCCACTGGAGAGCGGAAGCTTGTTAGCTGCTGACCCAAGCCCGGGACTCTGGTAAGAATTCACATACATGGCCCAAGCAAAACCAATGTCCTTCACTGGGACATCGGGAACGCCAAAGTTCCCAAAGCCAGTGGGAAATGCCTGTTTGTCACGTGACCTGTGTTATGTAATCAAATGAGACTGCTTATCGATAACAGGATAAAGCGGTTCGTCGCATTACGTAGGGTGGGGCCGTGCAAATCGTCGTCCCTCACACTGCACACTGTATCCATTTCTCCAAGGCAGTATTCCGTGGTCCGTACCAGACCGCGATTGATCTTGCCCTCCCACCTCAGTTTGTTTCTCTTGCCGACCATTTTTGTCCATCCCTAACACGCTCCCATCATCAAGTCGGTTTTCCAATTTACCATGGCAGACATCGCCAGTATCGAGGAGGATATCAAGCAGTTTCGCGAGCAGGTGCGTTGCCAGTCACATCCACCGTCCCGCGTCATATCCCATTGACGGATAAATGGAACTGACAGTATTTCTCAGCTTGATGTGGTAGAAGCCGGCCTGAGAGACGATCCAAGCAACGCAGAGCTGCTCGCTCTCAAGTCTGAGTTAGAAGATGCGCTTGCGCTACTGAACGAAACCCTTGCTGAATTCAAGCCGACAAAGGCATCGTCGGAGCCGCAAAGTGCGTCGCCGCCAGCACCAGCACCGCCGCCAGTACAAGAGAAATGGTCCCGAGAGAACCACCCAGCCTTCAAGAAACCCCAGCCGCCAGAAGAGAAAGAGCTTGACTCGGGTCCCGTAAACTATAAGGTCAACGACAGTGTCATGGCGAAATGGGTGTCCGGCGACAGAGGTTTCTATCCCGCTCGCATCACATCCATCACCGGATCCTCCACCGCCCCCATCTACGTCGTCAAATTCAAGAGCTACGATACAACCGAACAGCTGCGCGCCAAAGACATTCGTCCCGTCGCGCAGAAGAGAAAAGCCGACGGCACCCCCGCCAATGCTAACAGCCCCTTTACCGCTCCAACACAACCACCGCCTCCGCCGTCTTCCTCGTCTACTTCCACAAACCCTGGCGTGATATCCGCCGCTGCGAGCATCAACACCGAGTTGGCCCAGAAGAGTAGAGAGGAAGCCCTCAATAACACGGGAGATGCAAAGCCAAAGGCCAAGAAAATCAAGGCAAAGAAGGAACTCGAAGCTGGCAAGAATAAATGGCAGGAGTTCAACAACAAATCTAAATTCGCCAAGGCAAACAAGACGAAGAAGGACAGCATGTTTCGCACACCGGAGGGCGTCCATGGGAGAGGTTGGTTCTCGTCTCTTGACCGCCGCGTGGTCTTTTATCTTGTCTAGTATCTAGTTGCTGACCTACCTATTCGCAGTTGGGTTTACAGGCTCCGGACAAGCCATGCGGAAAGACCCTTCGAGGACCCGCCACATTTACCAAGCGAATGAGGATTTGGACTAATGACAGTCGCAGACCTAAAGCGGAGCGGAACCCCCGGTTCACATGCGCGAGGAAAGGGTATCGGGCAGTATCAGCGGCGTTCGGGGTCGGTTGGATCGGGTCGGGTGTTGATCAAGACTTATAGGCTTTGTTTCCTTCTCTCTCCCTTTGTCACATAGTCTGCATGCTAACATGTGTTATGAGTGGAAAGCTGTGCCGTGGTTCAGCGATCCTCCGCTAAGCGCCCGAGGAAGAACCCAGCAATACCAATACGAGCCAAGTCGCTCCCACCACATCACCCCTTGAATCCCATCCATTGTGTCTTATCGAGATGTAAGTGCTCGCCGTATGTGGACATGAAATGAGATGCAGCCTGCCTCCGCGACTGCTGACCTACGTCTCGGCGTAGGTCCTGTTTTTATGTATCCATACCTATTCAGGTCTGACATATTGCCATGTTGTGTCCATTAGAATCAGTACAAAACTATCATCGTACAGCGTGCTTCTCCATGGTGATATATATGATGGTATAGTTCTTCCCCCCGTCATTCTTTCTCCCTCGTGGTGTATCCACTTCATTTGTAGTCGAGTCCTATCTTCAGACCCACTTGCCGAGCGATGTCCATGAATGCCTTCGCTCTTGTGCTGTCGGGCTCCGATACTACTGTGGGCTTACCTCTTTGCCCGTCGTCGCCCACGTTCTGGTGCAGCGGGATGGTCCCGAGTAAATCGATCGAGTGGTCCTGGCAAAGCTGCTTTACTCTCTCATTGGATCCGAATACAGCCGTGTCCTGATGACAGTGTGGACAGCAGAACAGAGACATGTTCTCGACGAGACCCAACAGAGGGACACTGACCTTTGTGAACATGTTGATGCCCTTGACAGCATCTTTGACCGCCAAGGTATGAGGCGTTGTTACGATGACAGAGCCTGATCAATCGTCCCGTCAGCCTGCATTATATTTTCACACGGACAGAGTCTCGTACCATCCAGAACAACCTGTTGCGTGACACTGAGCTGCGTATCACCTGTGCCGGGAGGGAGATCCAGCACCAATATGTCCAGTCCGCCCCATTCCACTTCATGCAATAGTTGCTGGAGAGCTTTCATGACCATGAGCCCACGCCATACCACCGGTGCATCTTCACCAACGAGGTAGCCCATTGACATGGTCTTGACGCCGTAGTTCGACAGTGGGAGAAGCTGGTTGTCTGCGTTTGTTCGTGATCAGATATCGGCTTGAATAGGGGGAGCCGCGTAGATGAGGTGAAGTATGTCTACTTACTAGACGACAGCCTCGGCTCGCCGGATAAATCAAACAACGTGGGTATTGACGGGCCGAATATATCTGTGTCTAGGATACCTGCACGGAAGCCCATTCGCGCGAATGACAGCGATAGATTTGCTTACCGTGCCCGGGCGTGTCAGTTCACCGTCAAGCTTGGGGCGAGCTAACTGGCTGGACCTACCGGCTACAGTACTCTTTCCGACGCCACCCTTGGCCGACGACACGGCTATTACTTTTGCGACGTCTTTGATCTTTCGCCTTTCGGGAAGACCTCTTTGCATTCGTGGGATGGATCCCGTTCGTGGGAGGCCCTGGATGACGTTAGGTATATATCGTTGCATGTGTTTCTAAGCATGAAGTCGACATAATTTACCAATGGGTTATCATGTTGAAGAGAGCGTAGGGCTTGGAAGAGCCGCGATGGCGTTGCTCTCATGGCGCTCTTCGAGTTATGAAGAACCTCTATGACGGGTGGGTGAGATGAAACCAGCTTTCGTTTATAGGACTTGGGCAACTATAAAAGTGTGGATAATCTGGTCGTTTAGTAGTTTGCCTAGTATTTCAAGTGAGTCGTGGAAGGCTGAAAGCGACCGATGCTCGGTATTCTGATAACTGTCATTTACTATTTTGGCATGATTTTGTGGTGGTTGTTTACATGGTACTCATAGCGTTGCAGAATGATGATGAGAGACAAGAATGATTCTCTCATTCAGGATGAAAAATGATGAGAAATGATGAGAAATGTATGATATTAATGGACGTATTATGTAATAAATGCAACTTGAGGGTACGTACTTAAAAGAGCTTAACAGAGCGTGGAACCAGTCTCCGGTATAAACGGTACTGCCGTTTCTCACCGCCAAAATTTTCCTCTGCAACAGCGTGAGCGCATGATCCTCTTGAGCATCAAACTTAGACATCGGCATATACAAAATCGTCATGGCTACAAAACGCGGTCGGGCGAGAGAGCTCGCCGACTTAGTTGAGCGCCCTGTCAAAGGTTCGTATTCTCTTTTTGATTTCAATTGCATGAATCTACGAGTCGTTCTATGGGCCTTATACTCACGTTGTGTGTGTGTCGACAGATTACGATCCAGAAGCGGACGTGGCCCCCGTCGGTAGCGACCAGAGCGATAATGATAGCAGCGCCGACGAAGCAGTCGGTACTGAACATTATGTTGCTGTCGGGTACGCAGTCTCCCTGTTGCCCTTTCCAAACGATTTTCAGCCATCTAACGACCTCGCAGCAAGAGCAAGCTGCGTCGCCATGAGCCATTGTTCCTCGGCCCGAAGTATCGAGGTACCCGTGTTTCTCGCGAAGCCCTAGAAGCTGAAGGCAATGACGATAGCGATGACGAGCCGGATACAAACGATGACAACTCATCCAACTACGAAGACAGCCGCGAGGAATTCGACGATCCCGACGATGCCGACCTCGAGGCCGACCAACAGGGACAGGCGGATGTTGAGATAGACAGCGATGAAGCATTTGGCGAGAGTGACGAGGAAAAATTTAAAGACTTCATCTTCCGGGGAAGCTTGAAGCCTAGACCTACAAGGAGCAGACATGCTAAGCGGCCCACTGCTGCGGACTTCATGGAGTCTGAGGAGGATGATGAGGGTGAGGATGGCGAAAATGACGAGCAGGGTGAGGAAGATGAGCTCGATGATAGTGATGATCTGGAGGGCATCTCTGGTGACTCGGAAATTGGTGGCTTCATTGATGATGAAGCAGAAGAATCCGACGATGGCGAACCCGGCTTCACCGATGAAGACGAAGGGGAAGAGGATGACGACGACGATGACCTGTCATTGGATGGGAGTAGTAATGAAGGCGAAGATGACGAGGTGGATGACGAAAAGAAAACTGGCAGTGCTGGCAAGTTGAAGCGTTTGAACGGGTCCGGGATAGCAGCATCGGTCAAGGAAATGATGGGTGAACAAAGTGTTGTCAAATCATTGCTAAAGACAGTCGACGCCGATGTGCAAAAGGGAAAAGCCGTCCAACGTCAGCGGCAGGGTTTCGATGCCTTGCTCAACGTCCGTATACGTCTACAGAAGTCGGTAAGTACGACATCGACTCACAACCCTCCCCCGCACGGTGAGGTGAAGCCGTTTGATGTCCTGGTGCTTCTT